CGGGGGCCAGCCGCACCCCCCGGCCCCCCTGCCCGCGTGCCGTTCCCGGGCCGCGGGGCCCCGCCACCGCTGCTGGCCCCTGCTGCCAGGTCCACACCACGTGGGGCCCGCCGCGCCCACTCTGAGCACCACGGCGGACAGCAAGACAGAGGCAGAGAGAGACACCGAGGTCCGCCAGGTCAGCGTGGGGCTGAGGTACTGGGGCCCACGCCTGCCGCTCTGGGGAGCAAGGGCCGATGTGGCCTGTGCCCTCCTCCTTGGCCTGATCGGTCAGCTGGGTGAGACCCCAGGACGGCGGCCCTTAGCCCACCCACCCTAATGCTGGGGTCGAGGGACAAAGAGACCACGTGCCTAGGTGCGGGGCCCTCTGTGGCCTGGTCTGTGCACTGAAGCCTCAATGCCTGGCTTGGCGGTGAGAGGTACACGTATGTGTACATGTGTGTGCACGCGAGTGTGCTCTTGCTCATCAGCACAGGGGTCAGGCGACATGGGGTGGGGTCAGGATGTTGAGTCCCTAGCCTCAGCCAGGGCTGCCATCTGCTGGCTGGTCTCTGCGCTCAGAAGCAAGTGACAGACAGCCAGAGGAGCCACCAGCCAGGTCCTCTGTATACAAGGGTGACCCCGGGCCTGCCACCCCTACTGGGGTCTAGGCCTGCCAGACGCCTCCCCTGTCCCCAGCCCCAGTCCTAGTCCCAACCTGCCACTCACCATCACAGCCACGAGTGCCCAGAGGTGCCCAGGAACACGGCTGGCATGGAACATGGGGGGCCCCCCAGGGCCCAAACCACCTGCAGGGAGGGACAATGTCACTGAGACCCAGAAGACTCCTCAACAAACTACCCTTGAGAGAGGCTAAATTGCTTCCTCCCTGTCACCCTCGTCGGCCCTGCCCCATCCCACTTCCCAGATGGGAAAACTGAACCCTGCTCAGGGTAGGGTGAGGCCAGGACCCCAGAATCTGAAGTCTTGGTCGCCCACACAAGCCCACAGCCCACCCCGTGGCTCACCCTGGCTGGCAGCCTCCACATTCTGCATCCTGAGTCGCAGTGCCCACCTGGGCCTCCAGCCTCCCTCGAAGGCTGCAGCGGGCATGGGGCTGGCATGGGCTGGAGCCCCATGAGGTTGAAAAGGTACCGTGGGGACAGGGCCTGCAGGCTGCACCCTGCCTGGGGTCCTGTGGGAGAGACAGGGTGAGAACAGGCCTGGAGCCAGGGCTGAGGGCCCAGGGAGGCTACCAGCCACCCGGCCCATCTGTAGCAGCCATCCCAGGACAGGGCAGAAGGGCAGCTCAGTGCTCACCAGGTCCAGCTCCTCTCCAGGCGGGCATTGCCAAGGGGTCGCTGGTGTCGGAGTGGCCAGAGGCCAGGGCAGCAGCTGGAAGCAGAGCAGGCAGAAGCACACTCAGAGGTGACCATGCTGGGCCACAAGGACCACCCGCACAGAGTTCCCCACACCCACTCAAGTCCTTGGGGACCTTCTTCCAACCTCAGTCCCTCATGCTGCAAGAAAGGCCTGCCTGCTGCAGACCTGCTGTACTACCAGTG